CGACCCTCGGGTCCCGCAGGCCCGCGCACGCACTGCGGCGCCTCGGCGCATGACGCCTGGCGCCGCCGCCGGCCCCGGTGGATTTTATTCCTCTCATTTTTTTTTCGCTACTCGCAGGGAAGCGCACCGATCCTTCCTGGAAACCACAGTCAGTTAGCGACGCCTTTGCTGCGCGGAGAGCCCCGCGTTCATGCCGGGACGGGGCGGAGGTTTTCCGCCGGCTGCGGGGAAGCACCCCGCGCGTCCCGTCCCGGCAGCCCAGGCCCTGGCACCGCCGCGGCGAGGGGCGCCCGGCGCCCTCCAGCCTCCCCGCGGCCGCCCGGGCCCGAGGATGCAGATGAGACACTGGGACTGCAGTCTGACTGCTGGGAAGTGCTCGGAGTGAACTGTCACGTTATTCATTAAAAACACAAACCCCAACCCTTGGTTTGTAAGTGTGTGCGCGTGTGTGCGCGTGTGTGCGCGTGGGGGGTGTACCTTGTTCGCGCACACTGAAGCGGAGCTCGGGCGCCCCGGCAAACTGCGCGCTGGGGAGCCCGCGCGTGAAACCGCGAGTGGGGCGGCGTGGGCACGGGCGTGGGCACGAAGCTGGCACAGCTCACGAGGCGAGGCCGGCTGGGGCCCGCAGGGAGCAAAGCGCGAGCTCAGCGCCCGTGCTCCGGGCAGGGGGAGGGCTGCAAACAGCCGGGAAGTGCGGCCTGGGTCCTGCCGCCCAGCTGCCCCCTGCACCTTTCTCCCAGGGGCTGGGAGGCTTTTCCCGACAACGCCCATCCCCTCCGCCCCCGCGCGCGGGCCCCGCGACGAGAAGGAGCGCACGCGGCTTTGCGTTACACAGCGAGGTTTTATTAGCAGAGCAGCAGCCTGGCGCGGGTACAGCAGACATGCGAGCAAGTTTCAGAAAACTCCCTTTGATGTTCAAGCAATGGGTCCTGATTTGGGGGAGGCCGAGACCTTTTGGGGAAAGTTAAGAACACCTCTCCGCCCCCGAATAATCCCCGCTCCAGTCTTAGTGGAAAGTTATCTAGCAGTCACACGTGGAGCTGGTGGGCTCCGAAAGCAGTTACAATGTCTCGAAAACTACAAATAAAACACTTCTCACTGCGGGGCCGACACAAAAAGCGCCTCTAATGTTGGGGGCCTCGCCAATAAATGAAATAAATGAATGTTGGTCTTATAAATACTGCCCACGCTGTTGTCACCGAATATAAATTGCGTTTTAGGTGCAAGCGATAATACCAGAATTTTATTAAAAGGAAAAAAAAAGGTGCTACTTCTACACGCTGTCGTACTCCACTACTCGTGTTGTGAGAGTCCGCTACAATACAACGGTTTATTAAAAAGAAAAGAAAAGAAAAGAAAACGCTGGTGAAAAGCAAGTCTCTCTTAAATAGTGGCTCCACTGCATTGAGTCTGTGGACCGGGCATGTGGCTGTGCCCCAGCCGTCTGGGAAATGGGCACAGCAAGTCTCTGGCAAGCCGAAAGTCCTCGCTGCTGCTTGTGCTCCTCTCCGAGGGAGGCTGGTGGAAGCTGAAATCCGCGGGGGAGAAGAGGGAAAGTAAGCATCTAAATTTAGAGGGTAAATGACCTCATCAGAGCTCGTGTTAGTGTCAAAAGGCAGCTATTTCCCAACACTTGCAGGGCCGCATCCTCGCCCGGGCCGGCAGGCCGGGTCCCCGCAACCGGACTTCACGCCTCGGGCCCGAGTCTCGCCCAAACGTCGGATCCAGCAAGACGCGGCATCCTGGCGCCCCGGCCCCTCCGGCGGGACCCAACACACGTGCAGCCGGCAGGACGCGGGACCGAGAGGTGCGGGGAGCGCCCCGCCGGGGCGTGCCCGGGGTGGGTGCGGGAAATTCCTGGGCTACAGCGATCCACGCGCCGGGCCAGGGAGGGACCCGGCGGGTCTGCAAGAGAGCAAGCGAGCGAGCTCTCGCCGCAAGTGCGGCGAGTCCAGCCCGGGGGCTGCCCGACCCGGGCAAAACCCCCGCTCCCTTCACTCCGCGCCGGCGGCTCCGGCCCCCGCGGCGCCGGGCTCCAGCAGCTGCACCACGGCGGCGCGCTTGTAGAGCCGCGCCAGGTCGCAGGCCGTGTGCCCGCGCTTGTTGCGGTGCTGCAGGCGCGTGGCCGTGCTCCGCGCCAGGAACTCCACCACGCGCGCGTGGCCCTCCCGCGCCGCCAGGTGCAGCGGCAGGTTGCCCTCGTCGTCCTCGAGGTTCACGTCGGCTTTGAACTCCAGCAGCGTCTGGAGCGTGTCCAGGAAGCCGGCGCGGGCGGCGTCGTGGATGGCGGCGAAGCCGGTGCTGTCCCTCAGGTTGGGGTCAGCGCCTCTCAGCAGCAGCCGCCGGGCAATTTCGGGATTCCCCAGCTTCATTACCTGGGGGGAGAAGAAAACAAGAGCAAACCCCTCGAGTTTCACAGTGCGGGCGGCAGCGACGCCGCCGCCGGCTCCAAGCGAGCGCCGCCCTGCCCCGCACCGGGGCCGAAGAGGCAGAGGAGCCCCGGGCCCCGGCAGCCCCCTCCCTCGCCTCCTCCGGCCTCGACTAACACGTCTCGAGGTTATCTCACCACGTGCATAGAAACAGGCTTTATCCCGGAGGACGGGAGCGTCCCGAAGGCGCAGGTGAGACTGGCACGCCTGGCTCTGGTTCCCTTGCCGGCCGTCTCAGCCCCTCTACTCCGCGCCACGCAGCCGCGTCCAGTTTCACTTACCATCCGCGAGCAGAAACCTTGATTGACTTGTTTAAACTCGTTAACTGTAGCCCGGGTGGGCTTTTTTGAAAGGAGTGATATTTTACACTGCGCTGGACACTGTGGAGTGCCTTTCCCTAAATTCTCCAATTAATACTTACACTGTATTTTGCCAAAAATAACAAATGCAATGCAATAAAAGAAATGTAAATCTGGGTATGCTCTGCCCCGTCCTAATTAAAATAGAAATAACCCTTGGAGATTTCCTGCAGGACCTATGCTTCGTCGCCTGCTGCTCAAAATGGAGAACTTAGAAACAACAATTTTGAAAGCCCGGTATTTCTCCTAAAACAAACTTCTGATCTCGGAGCTTGACCCGCATCCGAGCAACCCAGGACGGGGCTGTTGTTGAAATCGCCCCTCCGAGAAGCGATCAGTGGGTCTGATGGGGGGGGGGTTTATACAGGTAAAATTGATGGATTTACCCTTGTTTGAGCACATGAAACCACTAGCACACGGATACATTGACAGCTGCACTAAATTAAGCACAAATTACAATTTATAGAAGGCATGAATTAAAAACCTGAAACTACTAAAAAAAAAATTAATATGCATTTAGACTTTATAAAAAAAGGCATGCACAACACACATCATTGCTGCAGGATTTGGAAACTATATAGCAGCTCCCCATGGCACTGAGCACACACACGGATAGTGGGGGGCTGACTGGGGGTTAGCTAACTCGCACGGGCGCTTCGGGAACTCGCAAGAACTTCTCCCCCCCCGTCTTTCATAAAATGAAACTAATTCATGCACAGTTGTCCCCATACTACAGGCAGTGCTTTTGTCCGAGACTTTGCTGTCACAACTAAACGGTTTTATTATGAAAAATTGCTCTGAACAAGTTTCCTTTATTTCCTTAACATGTTCATTCTCTATCTTTAAAATCTTCCTACGATTCTTTCTGTTTTTAGCATACACAAGGATGACAGTTGCACTAAATTAAGCACAAATTACAATTTATAGACGGCATGAATTGAAAACCTGAAGCTACTGAAAAAAAAAATTAATATGCATTTAGCCTTGATAAAAAAAAGGCTTGCACAACACATACCATTGCTGCAGCATTTGGAAACTATATAGCAGCTCATCATGGTGTATTTTAGGTAGGGACGAACAGACACGGATGGTTTGGGGCTTGCAGAAAGTATTTATCTGCCATAGTTTTGGGCAGGTTACCTGCCATTTCTTTTAATTCTGGATGGAGATCATAGAAGGTACATTTCTATCTCAGGAAAATAAGTGCACAGTATTTTTAGTACAACCCGCTGGTGTGGTGAAGGCCCCTGCACTCTGCGAGGCTGGGAGGGGGTTATACACGTGCAAGGGAAGCAAGATAAGAGCTGGGGGGGAAAAAGAATAAATCCCATGTACTTGGATTCGGGATCTAACCCGAGGGGAGACTGCAAAGTTTCTCTGGAGGGAGAGACTCGGGGCAGGAGAAAGCATTTGTGAGGAGGATGCACTAGCAAACTCTATAGCTGAGGCCTCCATGGCTTTGCCTCGTCAGGCAGAAAAGCAGAGGCTCGAGGAAGACAATGCTGAATCGCTGCGTTGAAACGAGAAAACCTGCGCGGTGCTCACTTTCATTTGGTGGGCTCCGGAGCAAGCAATATCGGAGGCTGCATCGACAGAAATCTCTCTCGAGCTGGGTCACTCGCCCACAAAACGTTTCAGGATTATACAAACTGAAAATAAGTAGTCACACTCCCCTGTTCTGATTGCCGTTGTGGTTCACTACATCGGATACGATTCAGTTGCAATAAAAAGTGGGTGACAGTGCCAGGAGGCAGCAACTGCAAAATAGTCCCCACTCCACATGCAGCGATGCTGATATTAGTAGGGAAAACCCCCTCTCTTCTGCCCTGCAACTCGGATTGTCAGCCCCCTTTTGCGGATAAAAGCCTAGATGCAGATTTCCTGCTTGCCCGTAGCAGCCAGGACGGGTGTCTTTTCGAGGCGCATTTTTCCTTTCCCTGCCAAGATGTCACCGGTGTCTGCAGTAAATCGCCTGCGTCTGTGACAACGGCGCAGGGACAATTTGACAGTCCTTGAATTCAAGGAAAAAACCGTAGAAAGGAAATCAAGCTTGTGTTCCTACAAGAGATTCATATTCTCGGGACCCTGCGTTTCGACGAGAAACCAGGCAGAGCAACCGGCTGTCAGCCGAGGTGCAATCCCTCTATTGCTCGAAAACACTTCAAAAGTGCACACCGTTTTGTCACTTTTTAAAATAGCAACTCTGCTTTAAAGTGGAAACTTGGCGCACAGCCCCCTCCCCCCACGGCTTTTCTTTCCCGTCCCTGCCCTGAGATTTCCCCTTCGGTTATCAATGGCTTGTCTATTGGGGGGGGGCCCCTCTCTTCCCTCATTTTCGCCTTCGTTGCATGACAGTCTCGAAAGAAAAGAAATCTGTTATCAGCTCCAGGGCTCGGGACTTGGATCCGCTCCAGCAACCGTCTGCAAACCGCAATCCCGCGGATGCGGAGCCCCGATCTCGGCGGTCGCGCTGGGACGCAGACCCCCGCGGGGGCCACGGCGGACAGGCCGGTCCCCGGCAGCGGCGGAGGAAGGAGAAGCCCCGTCCCGCCCCCCGGCGCGCGTGGAAAGAGCCCCGCGACCCCCGGAGGACACCCCCTGCTCGGAAACCCCCGCCCCGCCGGCTCGCGCACCAGGCGCCCCGCTGCCAGCAACGCCGTGGCCCCCTTCCCCTCCAAGTACGTCACGGCAGGCAGCTGCAGCCACTCCAGTGATGAAATATGGCACCCCCCCCCCAAGAAAAAAGCCCCGACTGGGGGACCCCTCCCCCCAGCGCGGAGACCAACCTGCAGCGCCGTCCTCCCGAACCGGTTGCGCGCATCCACGTTTCCATCGCTCTCCTGCAGGCAGCGGGCGAGCTGCGCCAGGTCCCCGCGGGCAGCCGCGGACGCCAGCTCGTTGCCGCCGGGCTCGGCCATGCCT